GGCGCTGTGGCGCTGTCCCCGCTGTCCCCGCGGGGCCCGGCCGGACATGGCCCCGCGCGGCCGCCCCGCCGCCGCCGCCATGCCCCGCAGGGGCGCCCGCAAACGCCTCAAGTTTCGCGCCGACGACGTGTGCTCCGAGCGGGGTGAGAGCCGGGCCGGGCCGGGCTGGGCCTGCAGGGGCGGGCCTGGGCCGCGGCTGAGGCGGCCCGGGGCTGGTGAGGGAAGGCGGGTCGAAGGTGAGCCGGGCCCAGCTTGGCCGTGCTGGTGCACGCCGGAGAGGAGCCCTGGGCCCGCATTGGGGCCTAAGAGAGGAGATAGTTAAAGAGCCTGGGCTTGGCCTGGCTGAGGGGGATGAGGGGAAGGAGGACGGTCTAGTCTCACCTAGGAGTGAGTTGGGCCCTCGCGTTTGTGCAGGCAGAGAGCTGCATCCAGGAGGGATGCCCCAGCGGGGTTCTGGAGGGATGTGTGGCACTAAGACCTCTTTGCCTGTGGAGGAGGAGCCTGAGACCAGAGGATCAGCCAGGCTCGAGTTGGGCTGTGCGAGGGAGAATGGGATTATCACTGGCTGAGGTGGTGGGAGAAGGAGAATTGCATTGAGCTGGGTGGGGGCGTGGGTCCCCTGAGCCTGGTAGGCCGGTGGTCTGGAGTAGAGACTTTCTGGGGACTGCTGGTCTGCATGTCTCTGCTGAGGCTCATTTTCCTGCTTGTGCATCTCCTCCTCGAGCCTCTGCTCCTCTGGGGACTGTTCCCTTTAGTCATTGTGACTCTTAGCCCTTTTGTCCCCTCCCCGTAATCCCTAATCCCCCTGACCCCTGTTTGCCCCTCTGCAGTGACGGTGGCAGATTATGCCAACTCAGACCCAGCTGTCGTGAAGTCTGGGCGGGTGAAGAAGGCTGTGGCCAACGCAGTGCAGCAGGAAGGTGAGTATGCCATGGGGCCCCAGCCTTCCCCACACTGCCTTCAGGGTTTGCTCTGCATGACATGGGAAACTCCTCTTCCTTAAACTGAGAAAATGTGTTGTCCTTTAGTGCTGAAAATGAGCCCGTGCTACTCTGTAGACAACCAGGTGTTAAGGACTTAGACAGGAGGTTTTGCAGAGAGCCTGCTGCAAGAATTGCTGAGTCTGTTAGTGCCTGAAATGGAAAGGCTTGGCTGTCATCTCCTGCTTGAAGCAGAAAATAACATTATAAAAGTATTTATTACTTTATTACCACATATAAAACTGTAGATAACTTTATTAGCAGGTAAAGTTCTTTGCCAGGGGAGTAAGGTTGTAATAGGTCTGTCAAACATCTGTTGCAAGGAGGTCTTGGGAGGGTGTTGCTGTTTTTTGGTGAACTTTGCAAAGGAGTTTTCCTGGAAAGGTAGTGCAGTATTTTGTTATCAGCTTTCTCCTTGTCTGGGAGCTTTCTGAGCTAACACACCCCACTTGCTTGAGAAATGCTGATGTTTAGGCCTTTTACATGTAGCTGTCACACGTGTTGTGTGAATGTTGTGTTGACAACGATGACTGAACTTTTCATAAAGGCAAACTCTTGATTTGCTGCTGAAATGTTGCGTTGTGGGAGGCAGTATGCACTTGGTGTGAGTGCCTGTCAGGGGCAGTGGTGCTCCTGAAGATCCTCTTCAGCTGCTGCTTCTCAAGCTTTTAAGATCAGGACACTTCCCTCTTTTGTGGCCTCCTTTGTTTGGGGCTTCCCTCCTCCCAGTCCTGCTCCTGTTCACCCATCTGTGTTCTGTCTCCTTGAGGCAAAGTCCAGCACTTGAGCATCATGCTGGCAAACTGCTGATGTTCTGTTCTCCCTGCCCCCAGCATCATCTGCTTCATCCAGTTTATCCCCTTTCCTGCTGTGTTTCTGGCTCACCTCCACCTCATCCTGGTGCCTCCAGCTCACAGGAGTTCCGTGCCCACCCCTTTCCCAGGTCTTTGCAGTGCAGCCTCAGGGGTTTCCCCTCCGGATTCATTCTCTGGGATCTCTCCTCCCCAGCCCCAGGGCTGTGCTCCAGCCTTATCTGGTGCAGCCATGACCATGCTGCAGCCTTATCTGGCCCAGCCTTATCTGTGTCTGGGGTGCCACGCGTGGGGACAGGAGCTCCAACCTTTGGCCTTGCTGCCCTCCAGAAACTCGGCAGAGTAAACCCCCACTGGGTGGGACTGCAGCGAGCGTGCCATGGGAGCTTCACCGACAGGGGAGCCGCGGCCAGGAGGAACTTTTCTGGGCTTCTTTCTTCCCCATTTTAGCGCCCAGGATGGGAGGATTGCAAGAGTGAGGTGAAGAGAGGGTGCCTCTGCAGGGTTGCAGTGCAGCCATTCACTGCTCGGTGGACTCGTGCTGTTCACTCAGAGGTTGACTTTTCCTTAGCAGAGTGGGCTGGACTCTTCTTCTAAACCCCACTCTGAGTCCCTGTCAGTTTTGTCCTCTCTTTCTTGGCTGTATTTGATTTCCTAACTCACTGTCATTTGTGTTGCCACATATTTCACTCTCTTTTTACCTATGAAAGGTCATGTGGAGAGGAAAGTGGGGGAAACAACTGCCATGAATACATCCAGGTGCCAGGAAAGCATCCAGTTTACAGAACAAACTGTGCGAAGCAAGGTAGAACTGGTTTAGCAAAGCACTGAGGTGTGTCTAGTCAGTGGGTACAGTCAAGCCCTGTCTGAAGACTGCTTTTCCATCTGCTGTCTTTTCATTTTATTAAAACCTTGTTTGGTGGTTAGAAATGAGAATATTTTTCACCTGAATATATTTTTGGTTTCTTCTTGTTATTGTTTGTTTTTCTGCCACTCTGTCTCTGTGATTGAAACAGCACATTTTGCTCTTCAGTGGCTCTGGTGACTGCAGTGACTGGAACTGGCATGTATAAAACCTTCCTAGGCTTCAGTTTGTGCTGAGCAGAAAAGCTTGAACACTATAAGCCTCCTCTGACCTCACTGGTCATGTTCTATTCTTCACCCAGTTTGTTGGGTTGAAATTCAGCTCTTGAATGAATTTCACAGGCTGTTTGTTAGCCTTGGTGCTGCTGTGGCAGTGCTGGTCTCTGTGGCAGTGCCTCACACAGCTGTAATGCAGGACCACACCTTTCTTTTCCAAGACTGTCATTACTGACTCTCATGTGGACTTTTCTGCCCTAATGAGCCCTCAGTTTACAGATCGAGTTTTGAAAATAATATTCCTGAACAGGGATATGTCTAAACATGTCCCCAGATACAGGAAAAAAACGGCCCCAAGCTCCAGCTGACTCAGCTGGCTGTTTTCCTTGCTAGACCAGAGCCTTCCCCTTCACTAAATTCCAGGGTAAGTGGAACTCCTGTGCACTTGACACTGAGTTCCAGCCCCAGTGGAATTTAGTTTTTTAGGATTATGTCATCAGCCACAGAATGGTTTTTCTGCTGCAAAGGGAGTGAGTCCTCTCTTCTCCATGCTCATAAAACAGTTCCAGAGCAGGTGCTGGCTCCAGGCTGAACATTGCCATGCAAAGCAACTCTGCTGTTTAGGGAAACCAGTTACCCCTTAGAAAGAGCCTGTTGTTTTTTTTGGAGTTGTAAATAGCTTCAGCTGAACCAATAGGATCTGCATAATGTGCTGGTAATCATCTTCATTGTTCATTACTTAAAACAAGCAGCTGAATAATTGTTTCCCATTCACTCACCCCTGCTAATCTTTCTCTGACAAGGTAATACTTGAGCTCAGGATTTACTTGCTTGTGTCACTCCCCAGAAGGCTTTAAGGCAGTGGTTCCACTGAAGCATCTTCTGGACTTGGATCACCTTTTCCTCTCTGCTGTTGTACTTACTGTCGTTTTTCATTCCAGTAAAATCCCTGTGTGGTTTGGAAGCTTCCTGTGTCCCTACTGAGGAAGTTCTCTCCGTGTCAGGAGAGTCCTGTGACAGCAGTGATGAGATGGATACCAAGGAAAGCATCAATGGGAGGGCTGCCTCGAGGAAAAAGAAGAGCAAAAGGCACAAAGGTGTGGTCACCTGCCATCCTGAGGCTCTGTGGGCTCCTGGTGTCCAGTATGGGGGATGCTCATGCTGGGGATTTACAGGATGGTCATGGGGCTCTTGGAGCATTCTGGAATTTGTGTGTGCACAAAGAAATGCCAAGGGTTTTGTCACTTGTAAATCTGCTGGCACTTGGTCACAAGAGCTGCATTTGCACAAAGGCAGAGCCTGGGGCATGAAATCAGAGCCTGAGAGCTCCTTGCTTTTAACAAATATCCCTCAGCCTTGGAAAACAAACACTGCTATTCCAGAGTTGTGCAACATGGGGTGGTTGCAGCAGGTTTACTTTGGGGTTGAAGTGCTGCTGTCCATGATGCATTTGTTGGCAAAACACAAGCTCTGTTTTCAGTGTGTTTCCAAGGCTGTGGTTTGTTACAAATGGGTTTAAAGGGCTCTTTTTCCAGCAAGGAAGTGCATTTGATCCTAGTGGCACCTTAATACATTAATTCAAGGGAGATGTATCCTTCATCAGTTGCACTTTGTGCAACTCCATAGAAATCCATTGACAGTGCAGTGTAAAGCATCAAACAGCTCTGCTGGTCTGGGGAACCCTGCAGAAGTTTCTAGTATCAAGCTCCTTTCAGGTTGAGAATCAAATTCTAACCAGTTTTCTTGAGCTTAGTAGCAATTTATGTAGCACGTGATCATCCATCCACCACAGACTGAGGGTGGACAGTACTTCCTCTGGGAAGGGAGTTAAACGAGGTTAACCTCTTTTATTAAGGCATCCTTCAGAATCCTGGCAAAATAATATCTGAGTGGCTGGAGCTGTGAGTCTGGGAAGCCAATATTCTGTTCTAGCACAGCCTTGTCTTGTTTCTACTACATGTTTAGGGAGGAAAAAATGGTGATAGAGCAGTGATGCTTCTGGCTGCCCTCTGAGTTCAGCAGTGTGGAGTTTGATGGCTTCTTGAGGTAGATCTGACCCAGCAAAATGGGTGTAGCAGCCCATTGTGGGTGTGCCTGCCATAAATCTGAAGTGCTGTGGGGAAGTGATCACATCCAGAGCTTTCTTTGGCAAGTATCACATAAGGATAAAGAACTGCCCTTTGTATTAACCTGCCATCTCAGAGTTAGATCTGGCAAGTTCCCAAACACCTCTTCTATGCCAGAGACCTCACAGCAGCTTTTCCTATTAGCACTGTGCACAAGTTGTGTTTTCCTTCTCTGTTCTTAACCTTCCTAATGCTCAGTATTGTTCACCTACTTATATTCTTTTAAAGTATTTTTTACTCCTAAAGTTGGAGCAATGTCTGTAGAAAAAAGTGTGGTGTAAACTACAAAACACTCCAGGATTGAAAGGAGTGTGAGCCCTCAGTTCTGGCTGAGCAGTTCTGACACCTCTGAGAGGAAGAACAGGCCTTTCTCTCCATCTGAATTGCATTAAAAGTTCACATCCAAGAAGTTTTAATGAAATTAAGAGATTTAGGAAAATAAGCTGATTGCTGGATGCAGAACAGAATTTCCCTCCCTGACAGAGCTCCTACCAAAATATTGTGACCACTGGAACAAAGACTTGGCAGTACCAACTGGACAAGCCTGGCAGTACTAACCGTCACGGTCTTCATGTGTGAAGCTATTTTAGTGACCTGTTGAATGTGCCCTTTTATTAAAAATGCAGGAACTTTGATGTCTCTTTATTTGACATCCAGTTTTTATTTCTCAGCTTCAGTGTGGTATTTCAGCTGTGCCAGGGTCAGGCATCAAAACAGGGTCCAGAAAGGCTTTGTGGTTTCCATCCTTGCACACAGCCCTCACTTGGACAAGATGCTGAACAAAATGACCTAATTCTGTATGCTTTGAGCTGAGCTGCTGGATTAGAAACCTCCAGAGAACCCTTTCAGCCTGAATTCCTTTATGAATCTGCCACTTTGCCCACTTGTGCAGCGGGGATAACAGTGGCGGGTGTCCAGCCCAAGGGAGGTGTCATGGCTGTGTGGACACTGATGGCAACGGGGAGCAGGGCCACTGAGGCTGTGCAGACTGGGGCTTGGGCTTTCCCTGTGTGTGTAAATCAGTGGCCCATGTGTGCTGCCAGGTGTGCGGCGCGTGTCTCTGGGTGGGAGTTGGTGCAGGTGTGATGTCCCGTGCTAACACAGCCTCATTGCCTTTAGAAGATGCCGAAGGGGGAGGAGGAGAGGAATATCCCATCGACATCTGGCTGCTCCTGGCTTCCTACATCCGCCCTGAGGACATCGTCCGGTTCTCTCTGATCTGCAAGAAAGCCTGGACTGTCACTTGCACCGCTGCCTTTTGGACCAGGCTGTACAGAAGGTGAGACTCAAGAGGGTTTTAAGACTGGTTGTGCAAGGTTTCAGTAGAGAGCAGTTCTCTGCAGAGCTGGAAATAAGGGAATAATTCCCTGTAGGCCTGGGCCCTGTGTTTGCACATTGACGTGGTGATATGGGCCTCTCTTGTGGAATATTCTTATCCCTCAAAAACAAACTGGGAGAGCTGGGGTTGTTCAGCCTGGAGAAGAGAAGGCTTGAGGAAAACATCCCTGTGACCTTCCAGTACCTTAAGGGGACTTATAAAGGGAAGGCAGAGGAACTTTTTGTGGGTGGGTGGTGACAGGGCAAGGAGTAATGGTTTTAAACTGAGGGCAGAGGGCAGGGTTAGATTGGATGTTAGGAAAAAAAATCTTGACTGTGAAGGCAGTGAGGTCCTGGCACAGATTGCCCAGAGAAACTGGCTGGCCCATCCCCAGTAGTATCCGAGACCAGGCTGGAGCACCCTGGGATAGTGGAAGGTGTCCCTGCCCGTGGCAGGGGGTGGAATGATCTGAGCTTTAAAGTCCCTTCCAACCCAAACCATTGTATGATTCTAAAATCACATCTGCTTTGGGTATGGAAATGGATCTTTGTGGTGTATTCCTGTATGTTCCCTGTAAAATCTCAGAGCTTTGTGTCTTTTTCTGCTTGCCATGGCCCAACACTTGTATATATCAACCTTTCCAAGTGTGTATGGCATGGTCGGTGCTGAAAGGCAAACATCATTGATGGACAACTTGCCCTGCCTCAAGCTCTAATCACAGTCACCTCCGTGTAATTTGGGAATTCTGGAGCTATACAGTGACAGGAGTAAGTGAAAGCAAGGAGGGCAAAGGGGTGGTCAACGCTTGATACAAATCCTTTTATCCCAGTACATTCCACTGGGATATTCTTTCAGGAGAGAATATTTTCTTTACACAGCTCTACCTGTTGCCCAGGAGGCACAAGCAGCAGGGGTACAGAGTAGAGAGTGGCTTGGTCATCCTTGCCCCTGGTTTTTAGTGTGACATTCCCTAGCAAAGGCTCCTTTGGAATGTAATCAAGCAATAGCCCTTGAGCGCAGGTGTTCAGGCTGCTCAGGCAGTACTGAGAGCTGCATTCAGTTCAGCTGGGAGTCCCTGGGAACCTGCAGCAACCTGCAGCCCTTTGTGCATCCTGCAGCTACATCCCCGGCTGGTCTGGGCAAACTAGAAATTATTGGGAATTGTAGTAGGATGTGTGGGCTGGAAGCCTGCCTGGTGCAGGTCAGGGCTTTGAGCCTGTCAGCAGCACACCCCCATCACAGCCCTCAGGGTTGACCAGATCCTGTAGTCAGTCATATGTGGGGTTCTCCCCTGGCACGGCTCAGTCCCTGCCCTGCTGTGCCCTGGAGCTGACACCTCTCCTGTGGGTTCTGCAGGCACTACAGCCTGGACGCGTACCTGCCCCTGCGCCTGCGCCCCGAGTCCATGGAGAAGCTGCACTGCCTGCGCGCCTGCGTCATCCGCTCCCTGTTCCACATGTACGAGCCCTTCGCCGCCCGCCTCTCCAGGAACCCCGCCATCCCAGACAGTACTCCCAGCACTTTAAAGAATTCCAGAGTAAGTAGCATCACTCAGGAGCTGGGATTTGTCTGACGTGTTGCTGTTTCTGTTTGGTTTGGTTTTTGCTTTCTAGAAGAAAAACAGATGATGTGAAGATGGTCACCAGTGAAGCTGGTGTAGGATGTCACTAACTGGGTAGTCTCAGCAGGATTTGTAAAAGTGGGCTGGTTACTTGTACCTGTAGAGTTACTCTTTGGAGTAACTTCTGCTTAAGTCCTACACTACACCATTCTAACCAGCAAAAAGGGCCCTGGTATCACTGGATATCAGAACTGCCAGGGATGTGTGTAGCTTCCCTTCTTCTGATCAAGGCTCCATAGGATCAGCTTTTATATGTTTTGCTTTATTCTGACACTGTCTGTCAGAGTACATCTTCTCTCTGTAACAGGCCTCTGGAGAGCTCAGGAGTGACACTGATGCCAGGAGCTGTGTCACCCTGCTTTCCTGCAGGTCATCTGTGGTCTGGTGTGTGGGTGAGGTGGGGTGGTGATGCTGGGGTGAGCATGGCAAATGTGCAGAGCCAGTGTCTGCTTTGGGACTGGGCTGCACTTGTGTTGGGCTGTGAAGGGTTTGTCTGTGGTGTGGGCAGGTAATTCCCTGTGCTATCCCAGCTTGGAGCACTTGCATATCATTCCTCTTTAATTGCTGTTGACCATTAACTCTGAAATGCCTTTGTGTCACTTGTTTGGTTTGAACTTGCAACTGGCCAATAATCTGTGAGCAGCTTAAAGAACGATGTGAATTCTCCACCCTCCAAATCCTAGGTCAAAAACCTGTTGAGAGACGTTTTTGGAGCCAAACTGAAGTTGGTTTCATTGAGGAGTTGTTCTTTCTTTTCTGTTCAAAATAGAGGAGCTTCATCTATCTGTACATGACATCCCACCTTTCTTCCTTCCTCTCCCTGTCACAGGCTGTCATGGGCTTGAGGAGCATCCAGCAGCACACAGGAGGTGGTGCTGCAGCACAGGGAAAAGCACATGGCTCTGTGTACATTCTTACTCTGCATCCAGAGCTCCTCATTCTCTTCCTGAGTCCCCAGGCTGGGGATCTTCATTCTTACCAACTGAAAAAGCAAAACACTTTGAGCAAATTCCAGTAGTCCTGAGCCCAAGCAGCCACTGCTCATGGCTGTAGGAGCTGAAACCCCGAGGCAGTGCTGGCAGGGTTGATGTTTTGGGAGGATTCCTGGTGACATCATAACGGCTTTGGTGCCCACTGCTAGTGCTTCTCCTGTACTAACAGTTGGAGGAGGATCCTTTAAGTGCAGTCTTTCATTGTTCAGCTTTTAAAAAAGGAAATTAAATGGGGACAAGACTTTGTCAGAGCAGTAGAGGTTTGACCTAACCCCTTGCAGCATGAAAGAGCCACCCTGAGTGTGGTCTTGCTGTACTACTGCACTGCAGGACTCTGAGCTCCACTTGTGTGACGGTGCACACAAATCCCTCAGCACAGAGGGTTTGGAGGAGGACCTGGCACTGCCTCCCCATGTTCTGGCTTTCCTGGGCTTTGGTTGTACCTTTGTGGGTTGCTGACACTAACGGCAATGCCTACCTAAACTGCATGTGGCTAGAGGAGAGCCCAGCCCCGGGTGTTATCCAACCTAGCTTTTCCTCTTTAATTTCCTTTTTTCTTTCCCTAGCCTAGCTTGTGTGGGACACTGGAGCCGTTATGGTGTCAGCAGAGGTGTTTGCCCTTTAAAGACACCCCATTATTTTGGGCGGAGCGGCCCCGCACGGCGCGTCTGAAGGGCAGGACGGCTGAGCCGAGGACGACATCCTCTGCCCCTTAGGAGGTACTGACCTTTTGTGCTTCACTACTTGCCATGACCAAACAGGTTGCTAGACCAGGCTGCCTCTGCAGGTGAACTACAAATGCCACTGACGGTGGAGTTAAACTCAGCAGCATCTCCTGCTTATCGGAGTTAAAATATCTGGAGAATGTTTTTATTGGAAAAAACATGAGGGTTGTTTCCTCCCAGGTGGAGGTTATTCCATGCATGTTTCTGAGCTTTACTCCACAGAGCTTTGTTGTTCATCTCACGAGGATTGTGGAGAGAAAAGGTCTTTTAAGGACTTGTTTATGGATGTGACTCAGAGTTGAAGTAGAGGGTCTTGTATCCCCCTTGGTCTCTTCAGAGCCCCTGTGGTGCAAGCTGGCTCTGGCTTAGTTTTATTAGGATCACTCCATCCTGGAACGAAGTTAAATGTGTGCTTTGCCCTGCAACCCAGACAGGTCTTCTCTCATCAGGAGAGACTGTATATGGATCACAGGGAGTTCTCTTTACCCACATTATTCCTCCTTTACCTGCTGACACTGATGATAAGACCAGCTGTGGTGAGCTGGCATCTGTGGTGTGGAAAAGCTTTGTGGGATGGCTGGACTGACTTGCCAGGTTCTTTCCTTAGCTGTTGAAGGCTGGTTGCTTGTACTGTGACTGGTAGGCAGGGATTTCCCTCCTACAGGAGTTTTTCTGAGCCTCCTGCTCTAGAATGAGCTCCTGGGCTGGAGCCTGTGGCCCACACAGCGATAACCAAGTGAAACTGGAGCAGTCCTGGTTTATGTCTGCATGAGAGAGCAGTGCTGGTGACTTCTGAAGCTGTTTGAGGCTGGTTTCTCATTTTCTTTTGAAAAGACACAGAAGGTTGGTCAGACTGTGCTGTACTGGCAGTGGTTTTGGACTCGAAATGATGACACTCAGTGCTGGTAATGGCAAGGTCAGGGTCTCCATTTGACACCACAATGGATTAGGAGCTTCTTCATCCATCACCTCATAGCTCGTGTTGGGGTCTTTGCATTTCCCTCTGCATCCTTTCCTTCTCAATCCTTATTCTGTTCTCTCTTGTTCCTCGCTTTAACCTCATTTGGAACCCAGTTTAATGGGAGTTGCTGGTGGGTGGAGGGAACGGGTGAACCTGCACCACTCATACCTGCCCTAGGAAAGGGACAAATGGCACATCAGGATTTTGCTGTTTGGCACATCAGTGACTACGTGTTGCATGAGGAGTTGGCCAGCTTGAAACTGGGAGATCTACACTACTGAGAGGGTTCTTTCAACATAATTAATTTGAATACGCGGCTTCTAATTACTCCTATGTAATTGTGTTTTCAATTGGAAGCCTTCATGATCTGTTAAAACTTATTTAAAGTGGTGCTTCTAAGGGTTTCATAATTTTGTGTTTCTTTTTTCTACCTCAGTGTCTGCTTTTCTGGTGCAAAAAGATTGTAGGGAACAGACAAGAAGCAATGTGGGAATTCAACTTCAAGTTCAAAAAGCAGGTATGAAGGAACCAGATCAGCTGTGACTTGTTTGAAGCAGAAATTATTTTTCGGGGGGTGGGGGGGGTGGAAGGGAAGTGGAAACTTTTTGTCCATTCAGAGAATAAATACAAACAGATTCCTGTGGTAAACTGAAGCACGTTGTGCAACTACACTCAGTTTTCAGTCTGTGTTACCAAGACATTTAGAATCCCACATTTTTATTTCCTCCTTTGGTATCCTTTCCCTGCTGTAAGATGCGGATCATCACTACTGATTGTTACCAAAAACCAGACTGTGTGACTGCAGTGGTCAAAATGTTGACCAAAATCTGAAACTTCTTGTTATGCCATTGCCAAGATTTCTCAGAGAAGTGAAGACAGCCAGCACTGCGAGGGAAAGCCTCCAGTGGTGGGTGTTGGGAGAAGCCAGTAATTTCAGGCAACCTTGGGAATTGTGCAGCTTTCCCCTCTAAAGAAATGGTTCTGAAAATTGCCCATCCTGAGTGTTGGCATTTTGTTGCTATTGTGACACTGCCCAAATACCTGGGGAGGAGGAGAGAGACCCTGCCAGGCCACACTGGGGAGGAGCAGCCAAACCCAGGAGAGGTTCCTGCTTTGCTAAATTGGCCTCTCTTTCTTTCAAGTCTCCCAGATTTAAGAGCAAGTGTTGCAAAGGTCTCCAGCCCCCAATCCAGTATGAGGAAGTGCACACAAACCCTGATCAGGATTGCTGCCTGCTGCAGATCACCACCTTCAACTTCATCTTCGTGCCAATCGTCATGGGCATGACCTTCACCTTGGTGAGTGGGAGAAAGCTGCCAGGCTTTGCAAATGAGGCTACTGTAAGGACATGAAGTGAGCACCTGGAATCTCCTGTGTTGGAAGGGACTCACAGGGTTCCTACTCCTGGCCCTGCACAGGACAATCCCAAGAATCCTACCCAGTGCCTATTTTGGGCTGTGTAAATCCTACTGCTGTATCAGCAAACCAGTTCTGGGAATCATATGGTTAATTAAGAGAGGAAGTGCTCAGAATCTCAGTTTAACTTCTCCATTTCCGTTGGCTCTTCCCTGTTTGGTGCAGTGAATAGAGAGGATGTAGAGAATGTGCCGGAGCTGTGGCTGTGCAGTGTCCGGCCTCAGGTGTTACCAGAACTGCAGCAGGTACAGGAGACAGGGAGCAATACAAGTGGAGGTCTGCCCCTCACAGGAATATCTCTTTATGGCAGTAAATTCTGGGAGGAAAATCCCACATGAGGAAACTCTTTGACTGTGTGTTTGGTCCCTGATTGGGATCAAATTGGGAGTAAGGGTTTCAGAAGTGGCCAGTGCTCAGTAGAGGTTCCATCTGGCCTCACTTAGGAGTTGGGCAGTGAGTTCCAGACTTCTCCTGACAGCCACTTGCTTCCAGGTTCACTTAGAGTCATAAAATTACTTAGATTGGAAAAAACCTTTACGATCAAGTCCCAGCACTGCTGTGTTCACCCCTAACTTATGTCCCCAGTGCCACATCCACAGTCCTTTTGAACACTGCAAGGGATGGTGATGCCACCACGGCCCAGGCAGTTCCAGTGTTCTCTGACATCCCTGCCATGATTATGTGGGGCTGCCAGCCAGCCAGCTGGTTTGGATGCAGTGCTGTAGCCCAGAGAATGTGACTGTGAAACACCTTGTACAATTCAGAGGAATGTATAAAGTCTAGAAGTGTCATGTTGAGAGCTCTCTTGGCCACTGTGACGCTCTGAAGCAGCTGTGATCTCCTCTCTTGCAGTTCTCCATCTCGGTGAGCACGGACATGCGGCACCACCGCGTGCGCCTGGTGTTCCAGGACGCGCCCGTGCGCAACGGGAAGAAGCCGCGCATGGAGCAGGGCGTGCAGGTGGTGCTGGACCCTGTGCACAGTGTCAGGCTCCTGGACTGGTGGCACCCACAGTACCCCTTCTCCCCAAAGGCTTAGTGCTCTCCTGAGGCTGCAGGAGCCCACAGGGGACTGAATCTGGCAGGCTGAAGAGAATTTCTAGGAACCAGGAAATCCTATTTTTATTTCTGAAATAAATTCTGCAGTCTCCTTGCAAGTGGTTGAAGCTGCTGAGCTAGTTTGTATGTATATAACTTCTGGTCAGTAATGAGCAGAGCTGAGTGTAAAGCAGAAACTATTTGTAAACACACTTTTATGTAAAATTGACATTTTATGATTTGAAAGGAGCTCCCTGGAACTGTTCATTTAAAATCCTTTTGGTGCTAATCAAAGTGGTCTTGTGTTCTCTTCTTTGGGAAGAAGTAGGAGGTTTTGCTTTCCAAGAACTTTCCTTTTTGCTTTCCAGGAACAATCAACAAACAAAATCTATGTTTGTTTTACTGCAGCAGAATTGTTTTCATGCACAGTGTGATATTTCAGTGTCTGAGGAGCAGTGAGCAAGACAGCAGTGATCAACAATAATCTTAATTCCCAGCCCAGCAGATCCCAGTTTAAGGAAAGAAAGGCATAAATGATCAAACAAAGGAATTACTTGAAAGAGGAGTTGTAAGGCAAAAGACTTAAGTTCTCACACTGGTGTTTTTCTTTGAAAATAAGATCTAAACTCTTAAAACCAGAAGGTGCTTTACAGAAAACATAAACAGGGAGGGAGAGGAGGGGACAAACTAAAATAACTGAAGCCGTGATGAAGGACTCAACTCTGTGTCTTTTCAAAGAGCAGTGTGGAAATATTCTCCATTGAAAGCCCCCAAGCAACCACTGATCTGGCTTTTGACTAAACAAATTATTTCTGTGAGGAAGAAGCAACCATGAAGCTTCCTCTGGTTCTGGGCTGACTGAGAAGTGAGGGGTGCAGGGGCTGGGCCTGTCAGAAGTGTGGTCTGACCAGAAGGAACCTGGCTGGAGGTTTAATTGAACACGTGGCTCCCTGGGAAGGTTCAGAGGAGGTGCTGCAGGGTAGGGGAGCAGCTGTGCAGATACAGACCCTGGATTGAGCTTTGCTGCTTATCAGATATCAGCTCCTCAGTTCTGCACACCACATCTGGTTCCAAGCAGGAGGAGCAGTACTTGTCCTTGTAGAATGTTCAGTGAAGCTCACAAAGAAGAGGGAGTTCTGCCATCTCAGTTTGGACTCTGTGGTCTTTGAGCTCTCAGTGGGTCCCTTCCAGCTCAGAATATCCAGTGGTTCTGTGACCCCACATGACCCTGGTGTAGCTGATCAGAAGGAGTTTTCTTGCCACTCTGTAAATCACCACTAAGGGCATTGCCCTGACTTTGGAGGCTCTTCGTGTTGACCTCAAACACATTTGGGACAGCTTCTGCCTCATAGTTCCCCTTTCCACCACTGCTGAACTTCCGTTGATGCCACAGGTAAGTTTTGAAGTTAAGTTGGTTTATTAGAGATAAAAGGCAAGAAAAATGTGCTATCCTGTGCTCCTGGGGCTGCCATGATTGCAGAGCCTGGGCTGTGTTGTGGTTGTGGTGCAGGAGAGGCAGGACAGGGTCAGGGCTGGAGCTGTGTGTAAGGGCTGCAGGGGCTCCAACGCCAAGGAAGCTGCTCCAGGGCAGTGGGGGACAACAGTCTTTCTTTTGCTGTGGGGTTAAACACCACTGAAGATGGGGACAGGTGGTAAAGCTCAGGCAGTGAAATGTGGTCAGGCTGTAGTTGCTGGTTGTCTTGGAGGGGGGTGGCTTCTTACTCAGAGCCTGGTTCTGGCTGTGCTTCAGGCTGTTTCCTGCTGTGTTCCCTGAAAATTCCCTCATGATGGTGCCACGGCTATGTGCCTGGTGGTTCCTGTTTATGCAGGCTCTGGAGGGTGGGAGCAGAGGGGTTTGGTTCCTGGCTCAGGCTGATGGCAGGAGCATGGAGCAGGCTGGTGTCTGTCTGAGGCTGTGCCCTTACCTGTGGGGAGCTGCTCAGGCTGAGCGGGGCTGGGAATGCCAGCCCGGGCCCTGCTCTGGCTTCTGTGCAGAGCTACAGAACAGCTCCTAGGGCTGTGTGTTCCTGCCATCTGGCAAAGCAGGAATACCTTCTGATCAGGCATATGGCAAATCCGGGGGGCAAAGGTGCTTGGCAGCTCCAGAATTCCCTGGCTGATCCCAGGCGGTGCAGCCGGAGCAGGCAGCACAGGCTGTGACAGCAGGAAGCAGGTGGATGGGATGTTTCCTGCTACCAACAGACTCGCTGGATTCAAATATGGATACTTGTATGGATACAGATGCCCCTAAGCCAGAGGTGCCTGGCCCCCTCCCAGGCCAGGCTTTTTGTAGACTGAAATGTATAAAATGTACAAGAACAATTCTCAGTCTTTTCCTTTACAAAGCTCCCACTGATCCTGGTGCTGGAGCTGTGCTGATCAGCAGTGTTGGCAGGGAATGGGAACCTGTTCTGATCCATGCTGGGAGGATGGGCAGTGGCAGGGATGCAGTGGAGGGGGGATTCTGCCTCTGTGTAGAGCTGCAGGTGTCCCCCTTGGTCCTTACCCAGAGCTTCAGATCCTGAACCCTGGGCTGAGGTTTGCTCAGTGAGGGAGTGACACCAAAGCTCAGCCCTGAGCAGGGGATTTCCACCCTGGCCCCTGAGCCCAGCCTGTCTTGAAGCTTGATTGCCAAAAAAAAAAGTCCTCTTCAGTGTCCTCCAGGGTAGGATGCAGTGAGTGCACTGGCCGGAGTGGCTGTGCTTTGGTGCCACCCATTTCTGTAGGACACGGCTCAGAGGGGTCCTCGGTGGTGTGGAAATGGAGCCCCAGATCAGCATCATGGTGGCTCTCCCTGCTGTGTGAGGCCCCGTTCTACCTTTGCTTTGTCCTGCTCCTGAATAATGGAAGGGCTGTAAACAGATCCTGCCTGGCTCTCTGGTTTCCTAGGGGAGACAGGAAGACTTGGCCACCACCTTCACCCTGCTCCTGATCTTTGTCAGGGATCCAGTGTACAACAGGAGCTGAGCTGGGTAAGGTGAGGCCTGCAGGCTTGGGGAAAGGGGCTAGGTCCTTCTGTGTGTCCCCTTGTGCCTGTCCCATCCCAGTCCCTCTGCTCTGGCCTCAACTGGGAGAACTGGTCCTCCCTAGACCTCTGAGCTGGGTTTGCCTGCGCAGCCACAGGGCCCTCTCAGAGCAGACTTTGCACCTGGGGCTTGTCTTTCTTCTTCAGCTTATTATAAAAGCAAGCAAAAATGTGCCTTTTAGCCTCATTTCAGCCACCTCCCTGTTTTCCCAAGGTCAAATATTAAGGTAAGCAGAGCATGTTTGGGTTTGGGGCCAGCGGGAGGTTTGAGAGCAGCCTTTGGTGCCAGGTTCTGGTTGGTTCCTGGGCACTGGGGCTATGCTGTGGCACTCACAGGGTGGCAGGTGGAGGGACACTTTTTCAGCACCCAAAAACCATTTGGGACTTGCTTCATAGCACAAAGCAGGGACTGGATGAACTGGCTCAGGCTGGCCTTGTGGCACTTGCTCTGAGGGCAAGAGGACCCAGAATGTTTGCCTGGACACCAGGAGCTGTGTCCTAGCTGGATTCCTTTCCTGCTCCAGGCCCACTTCTGGATGTCCCTGAAGAGGGTCAAATCCTGCCCTAGCACTGCACCCTGAAGTAGCCTGTGGGGACCAGCAGGGAATTTGGTGGCTCTCCTGCTCCCCTTGGCAGTGTTGGCTGTTCTATTGGCAGGGTTGCTGCACCCCGAGCATTGGGGACCCAGGGCTGTGCTGAGTGTCACAGCCCTACCCCTCTTCCTTTCTGCAGGGGCAGGAAGGACCAGATTTCCTTCCTGTGCAGGGGTGGGGGGTCAGGGGCAGCTGTGGTGAGAAAAGCCCTCCCCCTCCTGCAGCTGCCGCCAAGCCCACAGCCCTTCCCACCCGGGGCCACTGAGCAGCAAAGCTCTGCTGGGCTGCACCATCCCAGCTGCCTTGTCCCTGGAGTCTCCAGCCCCTGCGCAGGTGGGAATCCCACACTGCCTTTGCTCCCGTGCAGGTGGGGTGTCCCCACTGGGACAGAGCCACTGCCATCCCACCATAGGAATTTAAGGATTTAAACCCAAGCGATGTAGGAAAAGCAAAAGTCAGCAGATCCAGGAGCCTGGGGACGTCTCTTCTGCCTTCCCAGCACCATCACCTGCTTCCTGCTCTGCCTTATCTCTCTCACAGAGGTGTTCCAAGCTCCATGTGCTCCCATGGGAGCAGCTGGGGCTGGAAGTTGTCATGGGGGATTTCTAGAAGATGGAGCCTGGCAAGACATGCGAGGTCTCTCTGAAGGTAGGAGAGGTCCAGGCCAGCAAGGAGGGAAGGGGAAGGGGAAGGGGAAGGGGTTTCCGCTCCATTGGGCTGCTGTGGGAATGAGCTGATCTGGTTGGGAGCTGGGGACAAGCAATGCCATTGATGATTCATGGATGCTCCAGAGCCATGTTCCTGCTCTGGGTCTGGAGGGGGGAAGCAGTGGGAGAAAAGGCTTTGGGTGTAGGGGAGCTGGGAACAAACTGGGCCCCATGTGGCCCACATTGGTTCACTGGGATCAGAAAGGGCTTCATTCCCAGCCCAGCTGTGATGCCCAATGCTCCAGTGAGGAGCTGGAGTGTGTGGGGAAGCTGTGGTGTCCTGGGGCTACATCCCGGGTGGGATCCAGGTTCTGCCCTGGTCCAGGGTGCCAGACGTGCAGTTCTGGCTCTGCAGCCCCAGAGGTTTTTGCCACCTCATCACAAGAGCTGGAAAATAAATGGGCAAAAAGCTGTGCCAGTTCCGTGTCACCAGCTCCTGGCTCGGTGAAGCGTCAGGTTCGTGCCAGAGTTTGGGATGCTGGGGCTTGGCAAGAGCCCCCAGCGGGGGTTAGTGCTGCCCGGGGGACTGGAGCTGCCTGCGAGGATGCGGTCGGTGGGACACGGCTGATGCCATGCTGGGATGCCCGTCCGTGAGGCTGTCGAAGGTCCCACGGTGGGCTGGGGGCCCCTGGCCCGTCCCATGGGGGTCCGCGCCGACCTGGCCGGTTCCCCGAAGCTCCTGGGACTGAGGCCGCCGGCGGACGCTCCTCCTCTGCGGGAGGCAGGCAGGGACTCGGGGTGTGGCTTTACCGAGCAAGAGTCCAGAATCCGGCCAGCCTGGGGAAGTTGCGAGGGCCGAGCACCGTGGAGAGGCGAGGCTGCCGCCCACCCGTGAGTCTCTGCCCTCGGCGGGTGCGTGCAGAGCGGGGCTGGCCAGGAGCCATCTCCTGCTGCCATGGGAGCGGGTGCCTGGGCACCGGGGATGAGGGCAGGGGGCTGGGCTGGGGGTTCCCCAGCTGTCAGCGGTGGGGACAGGATCGGTGTAAGTGTCCCTCCCTGCAGGGACCTCACTGTGCTGTGGGACACCTGAACTGACCGAAAGCTTTGGCCCCCGGAGCCGTGTGCTACTAGAGCAGGGTATTTCCCCTCCTTTGTCCCTGTGGGACGACCCCTGGAGCAGAGACACGTACATGGGGCCAGACCCTGGCCTGACTCCCAGGGGGCCCAGGAGCCCCCATCCCCCACAGTCCCGAGTGGCCGCAGTTTGCCCATGGGGGCCGTTGTGCTGCCGCAATTTGCAGTGTCCCCCACCCATTTCTGGTGCTGGGTTCCATCCCAGCCCTTTCCAGCCCGGGGACCCTCAGGGCGGGGCACTGAGCTTTGCTGCAGGAGAGCTGGTGTTTACCCTGCTGGGTGACACAGCCTTTGTCTGTGCCTCAGTTTCCCCCAGCATGGAAAGGCACTCCTGCCAGTGGGAAGGGACCCTGGCTGGTCCCTTCTCCTTGTGCAACCAGCCCTGCTCTCCCCAGTGCCGGCGGAAGCAGCTGGAGCTGCCTGCACACGGGGAGCTTCCTCGGAGCCTCGTGGGACTGAGGCTGGGAATGGACTGTTCCTTCCCCCTGCCCTGGACTGAGGCTGGGGAGGAGTTTGGCTCCACGCAAGTGGCTCTCAGCTCCTCCTGGCCAATGTCCCCACAGTGGGCTGGCTTTTGGGGACATCTGCAGTGGGGTGATGGGCTGTGGGGAAGGTGCATGAGGTGCTTGGAGCAGACTGTGGGGACAGGGATACCCTCTGGAGGTGCTTTGAGCTGGAGCAGGAAGATGCTGCACCCCTGGTTGTGCCCGCTTATGTGGGCTGCTTTGTTCCTCCATGGAGGCAGAAATCCAAAGTCCAATTAGGGGGCTAATTATGCGGCTGCACTCCTTACCTTCTGTTCTGTGCCATTGACCCCTGTTCCCCATGGGCTGCCTACTCTTCGGGTGAAGCTGCTCCTGTGAGAGCTGGGGGTGCTCAGCAGCATCTTGTTTTCCATGCAGGATGAGCCGTTGGCAGCCAGACATTCCCCAGCAGCCAGAAAAACCTGTGGCCATCCAGAGTGGCCAAATGCCCAGCCTGGCATGTGGCCAGGTCTCACCCTTCCCAGCTCACCCGTGGCCCTGGTTGTAGATCCCGGAGGTCCAGGCTTGGAAATCCACCTCCAGGGTGGCATCAGGGTGTGATGTCCCTGTGGCTCAGACAGATCCCTAATGCTGCTCCCCCTGAGCTGGTGAGGTCCCCATGTCTCCCGAGCTGTAAGGGATGGAGAGGCCACACTCTCTGCTGGGACCTGGGATTTTGAGAGAGATTTTGAGCAGCTCCAGGAGCCGCTTGTCTCTGCCGCGAGTCAGCCCTGCCCTGCCGGGGAGCGCGGCTCTCTGGCTCCGAGTGTTTGTCTCCGAGGGAGGAGCCGTGTCCCTGGGCGCGGCCAGTGCTCCAAGGGCGAAGTGCCTGCGGATCGGATCGGGGGCACCTGCTCGGCACCAGCCTCCTGGGGAGCTGACATCCCCTCCAGAGGACTCCTGGGCGCAAAAACAAGGGTTCTCCTTAAAATAAGCCCAGCTCACGCTTCAGGGCAGCAGCCCTGAGGTTCTGTGCTCCAGTCTGTGGGGCCCGCGGGTGGGCTCAGAGCATCCCCTGCACAGCGGTGGTTGGGGCAGGAAAGTATTTAGGGCACTGTCCTAGGAAACCCAGCCTTGGTTTGGGAAGGCTTAGGAGGGCTTTTCCTCCACGTTTGCATTCAAAGCTGCTTTGACCAAGCCAAGTCACTGTAAACAGTTTGGATGGGGCTCAGGGTGTCTGCCCCATCAAGCTGGGCCCTTGCCCAGGCTCAGCTGCTTCTCTTCCAGGGCAGCAATGTCATATTTATAATGGAAAAAACCCAGGCAAACACAGGAGTCTTTTAGCCTCCTGCCACACCTCTGCTACAAAGTACAGTATCTCAAGTTCACTGCAACTTGCTTGAAGGTGACACTGTCCCCTCAGGGACACTTTTCTTGCTGGGACAGGGCGAGCTGGTGCCTGCCTGGAGGAAGGTGGGGAGCTGCTTCTTCCTCACAGTGCTGGAAGAGCAGCCTGGGCCCATTTGAGACCTGAGTGTTTCCCAGGGCTTGGTGACAAATCCTGGGGTGTTGGTGAGTGGTCATGGGGTGTCTCCATGACCCAAAAGTTTTTTTCTGAGGCCCTGTCCACTTGCATTTCTTCTGCTTCCAGCTCCGGGGTGCTGCTTGGGGTGTCCCAGGGCAGCTGAGGTGTCCTGGGGCTGGTTTTGTCCTGGTCAGATTGGGATGTCCCTGTCCCTGCCTGCCCAAAGGGGACAGTGCACAAGTGTCTCCTGGTGCCCCATAGCTGCCCACAAGTGTGCACCTGTGGGTGCTTGGGGCAGGGGGTCAGTCCCAGGGGTGTATCCGTGTGCTGTCCCACTGTCCTGTCCAGGGGGTGGTGGCTTTCCACAGGCTGTGCCCTGACATGTCCCCTCTCCCCAGGCCTCAGCCAGCAGGGGCCATGCGGTGCTCTCCGAAACGCTCCCTCACGGTTCTGCTCGCTACCTCCTTTCTCCTCCTCCTCCTCCTCCATGCGGGCAGACGGCAGGAAGAGGATCCCCTGGAGGTGAGTCCCCAACCAGTGACTTCTCACTGGAGAGTCTAGTGGAGCATTCTCTATCCCTTCCTGCCCCACATGAACCCAAGCCTCAGCTCTGCCCTCTTCCCTGCTCCATGTCATCCTCAACCCCAAACTCTGCCTTCTCCTCTCCCTAGGGTTGCCCTGGGCAGCTGGACCCCGCTGAACCCAGGGAGGGCAGGACAGGGGCTCCCCTTCCCTTCTGGGTCCCCCTCCTGTCATCCCCCCTTGCTGCATGGTTCTCTGGGGTGTGACCTGTTGCCTGTCACTCCCCTGCAGGACACGATCCTGCAGCTGCTGCAGCCGAAGGGCGCCCAGCACATCCTCAGGGACACAGCTGAGCTCTCTGCACTCCACAACATCTCCTACCAGCTCCTCGCTGGCTCTCCGGCTCCCCAAAAAAGTGAGTGGACCCTCTGGGTATGCACATCTGGGTGTGCACAGCTGCACATCCCAGCACAGACCTGCCCTCTTACTGCTGCTGGGGCAGGGAGGGGCTGTGTCCCACCTTTTTGGGTGGGGACCTGCTCACAACCTCCACAGCTTTCACTGCTCACTCTGGGGATGGAGGGAAGCTCCATGTGCTCCACGCAGGGTCCAAGTTGCTGCACCTTGGGACTGGGATGACCACAGGTGTTTTTGAGATCCCATCTCCCTGGGGTTGGGGTTCCAGTGGAGATGGTGAGCTGGACCACTGGGACAACCTCAGAGTGTGGGAGGAGTGGGCCAAGCTCTTGGACAGGTGCACAGGAAGCAATTCCCATGCAAACCCTGTGGGAAGGAGCTCAGGGCAACGTGTGAGGCTGTGCTGGCACCAGCACAGGAATGGTGTTGTCCCAGCCATCAGCAAGAAAAGTTGAATCAAGGCAGCCACTGCTGGGCCACGGGGAGGACACAAGGTGCCTGATCCCAGTGTGGGTGCATCTCCATGAGGTGTGGAGTGGGGAATGCTTTCAGGATGTGCACCCATACCAACAGGCCATTCCTGCTCTATTGACTCTCTCTCTGCACTGTTACTTGCCTGGGTTTCACTTTTTTAGGTGTTTTTCAGGAACATTTCTTCAGTGAGGCCCCTGCCTCCTCAATCTGCCTCTTGCTGCCATTTGGGCCAATTTTGGGCCCCTCCTGAGTTGCTGAAGGCTTCAGCTTCAGGAAGGAGCCACTGGCCTTAGACGTGGGGTTACAAACAGCACTGACCCTGGAGGCTGGCGACGGGAAGAGGTTTTTGGAGTCCTTTTATTACGTTTTGAAGGGAAGAAGATATGGTGATCCCAGGTCACCCCTCTGCCTGTTCATGCCTTTCCTTTACCTTGCAGAATTCCTGGCAGTGGGAATGGCATCCGTGCAGAGGCCACGTGGTTTCTACCTGCTGGCCACGCTCCAGTCCCTCTTCAGCCAGTCTACAGAGGAGGAACTGCAGGAGATGGTGGTGGTGGTGCACCTGGCTGACACTGATCCTGGCTGGAACGCGCGTGTTGCCGCCACCATCGCCCAGAAGTTTGCTCGCCACATCCTCCTGGGCCGGCTCCTGCTCATCCATGCTCCCCCTGAATTCTACCCCACCCTGGAAGGCCTGAAGAGGAACTTCAACGATGCAGAGGAGCGGGTGAGGTTCCGCTCCAAGCAGAATGTGGACTATGCCTTCCTGCTCGCCTTCGCCGCCAACCTCTCCTCCTACTACCTGATGATTGAGGATGACGTGTGGAGCGCCAGGTCCTTCCTGACGGCCATCCGCAGGGCAGTGGCTTCCCAGGAGGGTTCCAACTGGGCCACCCTTGAATTCTCCAAGCTGGGCTACATTGGAAAGCTCTACCGCTCCAGTGACCTTCCTCGCCTGGCTCAATTCCTCCTCCTCTTCTACCAGGAGATGCCCTGTGACTGGCTGCTGGTCCACTTCCGCCAACTGCTCACTCAGAAGGACGTGATCCGCTTCAAGCCATCCCTCTTCCAGCACATGGGCTTTTATTCCTCCTTCCAGGGCACTGTCAACCGGCTGGAGGACGAGGATTTCCAAGCTGATGCCTTGGACCTCCCGGACAACCCGCCAGCATCCCTGTACACCAGCATGTCCATCTTTGAGAACTACGAGCCCCTCAAAGCCTACAGCTCGGCACAGGGGTACTTTTGGGGCAAAGACCCAGCAGCTGGCAGTACTTTTTCCATTGTGTTCCAGCAGCCAGCCCGAGTCAGCCGTGTCCGGGTGCGCACGGGCTCCGTGGAGCGCCCAGGTGATTTCCTGCGCGCAGGGCTGCTGGAGCTGGGCCAGCGCCGGGACCACAGCCGGGACTGCTCCTCCTACATCCCTGTGGGCTCCTTCAAGAAGGGGACCCTGGAGCAGCAGGGTCTGGAGAGGGTCCTGCCTGGGCCCGTGGAGTGCGTGAGGATCCGGGTGACGCAGGACCAGAGCGAGTGGCTCATCATCCAGAGCATCGACATCTGGACCACAGCAGGCACTTGAGCATAACACCTGTGGCAGGATGTCAAAGCTCCTGGATTTGGTTCCTTTATTTTTCACATTGCCTTTTTGGATAAGAAATTAAGTTATTGGCTCTCACTGGTCCATGTCTGGAGAGATGGAAACCACTGACGTGGGCTGTGGATGGGTCTAGGAGCAGGGCACATCAGAATGTACCTGCTGGAGGATGCCCCAATGAGCCAGGGAGGGGGCACAGGAAGGGGAAGGGGCTTGGGAATTCAAGGCTGAGCGGCAGAAAACCTTTCCTCCCGGGGAGGATGATGTACAGGACAAAGCTGATCAGCTAATTAACAAACCAAATAATTAATCAGGCAGTGGTATTTTTTGGAGCCTCTCCACACCTTAGCTGCTTTAAGTTTTCTAACCTTTTCCAAAACTCTCGATTTCTAACTCACTCCTCTCTGAGCCCGTTTCCTAGCTGCTGCTGGAGGGGTCAGGGGAAAGTCTGGGGGTGCTGCTCACCAAACCCTTCACCCTGCAGGCTCAGCAGGTTCGTGGCAGCAGCAAACTCCCACTGGTGCCCGGCCACTTCCCGGTGCCCATCGGGGACGATGGCCACCAGATGGACCCATCGGCCCGGCCCCGGGCACCGCCTCCCACCGGCGCTCCTTGTTCCCGCCCTCGAAGGGAACAAACCAATTCCCAGGGACCTCACTTCGTGGTTTTGCGGGGTTCACACGGAGCGAGAAGGACAGTCAAGATGGGGCTTCTAGAAAGGTGAGGAAGGCACAGAATTGGGCTCCAGGGAACAAAGATAAGCCAAGGAAAATGTGACCTCGGTATAATGTGAAGCTACGGGTCCTTTTTAGCCCAGGGAGGTGCTGAAGGGTAATTGGGGTACACACAGGCTCCCAAAAGCTGTTTGGGCTTGTCTGGCAGGGTCAGCTTGGAGGGCTCGATGTTCCACTAGCAGCTGCAGGCCCCAGCACACAGGGCAGTGACTGGCATTTCTCCCAATTAGGCTTTTAGCAACAATGTCTCAGCTTCCTGCAAAGGAAGAATTCCAGTCTGCTCAGCATTCCCATAGGGTAGCCCAGAGAAATTAAGTCACTAACCTGTGCTAAGCAGGACTCTGGTCTGCCCATGCTCCAAGCCTGGCTCTCCTGGGGCAGGACAGGGACAGTGCCAGGGACACTCCTGCAGCACCATAACCACAGCTCTGCTTTGAGGTGGTATGAGCTCACCGGCTGGGCACTGGCAGGCAGATGGAAAGCCTCAGACCTGGCATGATGGGGTTTTTTCCCCTGAAAAAAGCCACTCAGGTAGCAGATCTTTGCATTTAATATGGAGGTGCTAGACCATAAACTCCAAATGTTCTCAGTGGGATCAATACACACGCCAGAATCACTGCAGCTTCCTCCATGCAGCCCAAGCCCTGTCAGAGCTCTTGGAGTGTTCTGAGTGGCACAAGTGTCCACTTCCCAGGGCCCTGACGGGTGTTTCTAGTGCTCCAGGAGAGCCTGTGTCCTAGTTCTCTTGGACACAAATGCTGCTGTCCACTGTGGGAGAACACCAAGGGTCACCAGTATGAGTACAACTCAAGAGGTTTCACCCCAGGAAGTTTTTATCTACTGGTAAAGCACAAAAAGATTTTTACCTGTTGGACTCTTACTGATGTAGGTACTAACAGGTTTTGTGATATTCACATGCCCAGAAGCAAGCTGCAGTCTCAATTATGCTGGTGTAAACCTGGAAAGAATCCAGAGGTATGGAAATCTCTCCATTTACATCAGGATAAGCAGAAGCAGCAGTGCGCACTGGCAGAAACCCCCTCCCCTTTGTTCCTGTGCTGTTCCTGTGTGGCTCAGCACCACAATGCCCAAGGACCATCAGTGCACACTGGAGGAGGAGGTGGCTGCTGTATCCTGGAGAAACATAACATGACATAATTTATCCCACATCAAAATTCTCCCACTATTTTTATCCCAGGAGGACTGAGCCAGCTTGCAGCACTCTGTTCCCAGCCCCTGTCCCTGCTGGGGTGGGCTGATAGAGTCCCGTGTTCGGCCGAGCTCCACAGGGCAGCCAGAGCCCAGGGGCCAGCATGGCTGGGCAGGGGAAGGGCAGGGGACACCACCAGAGAAGCCTTTGGGGCTGCTGCTCCCTCTAGAGACGGTGAATCAGGGAGGGCTGGAGGTTCCATTCCAACGCTGGGGTGTCCTGGTGCGGCAGGGCCCAGCAGGGCCTAGCTCAGCATCTTGTGCCGGTCGAACACTGTCTTCCTCTGCTCCTGCACCTGCCGCTTCCAGCGCTGCTGGGCCCCCTCCACCCGCTCCAGCACTGTGTTGGCCCTGGCGCCAGCCAGGGGGGGCACTGCGGCCAGGGAGTGAGTGTCCTGCAAGGAAAGGAATGCGGCTGGAGACCAGGCAATGCCCAGCCCGAGCACACAGGGAGGTAGCTGACTTGGGGAGAAACTGCACCTGAAAGAGCAGTTCAAGGTTTGAGTTGTTCTGATGAAGAACCTCCTTTTCAGAGCTCCTCAACATCAGCCCTCAAGTCCTTGCTCTTGGGGATCACCCACGACTCCAGATAAAAGTTCCCAGCAGAGGAACTGCACGAAGTGTAGAGCACTGCTGGAAACCCATTCTTGGAGTCTACAAGGAGCCACAGTGCCAAGGTGAACCACATCCCCCCACTAAAACCAGGCTGACAATGGATGGAGATCCCTCTTGGCACAGGAACAAGGCCTATCCCAGAGGACTTAGTCCAGCGTACTGGAGTCAGATAAATGTCACTTAACACCAGGCATTTACCATGTGCACCTGGATCTGGATCTGAATTACTGCTGCAAACCCATGACTTTGGGATACAATGCATCTCCTCCTGCAGGACCTCCTTTTTCAGCAGAGGGAGGCAAGGGATAGACTGTGGACACTGGAGCAGCTGCTCCTCACATCCGAGTTTGAAGGAATTGGGCCAAATAGTTTATACTCACAACAAAGTACAAATAGGACAATCTAACCAAGTGCTGCAACTGCATTAATTTTATGTAGCAAGAAATTTTTCCTCCCCCAAAACTGGTGTGTGACAGAGAGAAAGAGGGAGAGAGTGGCTCTTTCTTTGCTACTGGGTCTTAATCATTTTGCCCACAGTTTGTACACCAGCATCCCACAAAAAGATGGGGTTTCAATGAAATTGTGCTCTGGTGAACTGCAGCACAGGAGCATAGGGAACAGCAGCCTGGATACAACCCAAGGCCCAGCCCCAGAGCAGGCTCAAACAGCACCTCAAAGGCCACTGTTTTAAGTGTCTAGAAGATGTTTTAGCTGACACTTAAGCTCATCCTTCCCTGGAAGCTCAGCACCACAAAACTCCATCTGGGACACTGCACAAACAGGATCTGACTTTTTTCCCTCTAGATGGACAAACCAAATTCAGGCCAGCTGCTAGAAAGTCCCCTCTGCCTCTGAGGGCAAGACTTGCCTTGGGGTCGTTACACAGAACTCTGAACGTTCCATGTGCTTCTGCATGATGTGCAGATATCTAAATGTTCACCTGTGTAAGTACCCCCAAAGCAGCAGTGCTGGTCCCTCAGTGGATCAGAGGAGACAAGCAGGAGGTCACTGTTTCCCTATCCCCCCTTCTTCTGTCCCCCTGTCTGCACCCCCTCACCTCGCTGTCCTCCTCATTGTGCAGGGGCTGGGTGTAGGGGTCTGGCTTGCGGATCAGGGGGTCCACGAGCACCAGGAAGGCCATGTAGAGCAGCAGGGCCCCCACCACCGACAGGTAGATGATGATGATCACCTGCAGTTGAGGATAGTGCAGGGGGAAAGGATAAGCAGTGTAGATAAGAAGCACCACAGAGGTCAGGAAGGTCCTTTGCAGCTGCCTTTGATGTGTGATCTCTTGTTCTCATTTTGCTCACAAGAGTCTCTTGCTCTTGCCAGGAGGCCAAGGTTGTGCCATCACAGCACAAAGTGTGCTGACGCTCTCGCTGTGCCAACTGAGGGCATGTTCTGCACATAAGGGACAACAAGATGGGGCCCTGGTCAGAGGTGCTTGGCACTCTTGTCACACTTGTCCACATCCCCAGCAAGAAGACTGGGCTCCCACACAGCTCCTCACTACCAGGAATGCCCCTGCCTCAGACACGGAATCACAGAACTCACAGAATCCCTGAATCACTGAGTGAGGTTGGAGAACATGTCTGAGATCATGGAGTCCAACCTGTGACCAATCCCCACCTTGTCACCCCACCCAGAGCACTCAGTGGCACATCCAGTTGTTCCTTGAGCACCTCCACGGACAGCGACTCCCTGGGCAGCCCCTTCCAGTATCCAACACCCTTTTTTTGTGAAGAAATTCTTCCTGGTGCAGCTTCAGACCACGTCTTCTTGTCCTGTCACTAGCTGCCTGGGAGAATAGGCCAACCCCCACCTGGCTACAGCCTTCTTTCAGAGAGTTGTAGAGTGAGCCCCTGGCACTGCCACCATGTACTCGCTGTGACAGTTTCCTTTCTTAAAGAAAACTTTCTGGGCTCTTCTCCAGGAACCAACCAGTGCGGCAGTGCCGGCGCTGCTGTGGCACGGCACAGCCAGTGAGTGCAGTCACCCTGGGCTTGTGTGGCACAGCAGGGAGCAGGACCGGGCAGGGGCCTGAGCTCAGGTACCTTGATGGTGGTGGTGCTGCGCTCCTCGTACTTGCACTCGCAGAGCAGGCAGTAGGCCTCCACGTCATTCCCGGGCACTGGCATGGGCTCCACCACGTGCAGACAGTTGCTACAGCACAAACCAACCACAATCAGCAGCAGCACAAGCTGAAACCAGTGCTCTGTGCAAGGACACTGGGGTGACTTTGTCTGTGCCCCAGCTTTCCAGTCAGGCTCATAAGACTGATCTGGTGTTAAGAGCTCCCCTCACAGCCTAGCTGCCCAAACTCCCTGGGATAGCTTGTCCCAGCAGCTTTTGCAGGGATCCAGTCCAGGTGGAAAGGATTGGAGGGCACACCCTACATCTGCCAAGAGCAGTGGGTAAACATGTCATCCCAGATTCCTCAATTTCTGTTTAAAAAAATGCCCCTGGCCTAGGCTGAACACCAAAGCAGCTCCCTCTGCAAACATACAGGCAGGGAATCTGTTCTCAGCATCAGCTCCAGAGCTTGGCTGCCACAGACCGACCCCTGAGGCTGCTCACTCACTCACCAGTCCTTCTGGGACACATTCTTGTTGTAGATGTGCCCGCTGATGTTGCGATACGGGGGGCAGATGCACTTGCAGCGAATGTCCTCAGAGCTCTGCAGGACACAGGAGCCATGTGAAGGAGGGCACACAGCTCTGTCCCCTCACACCCCACTTCTGCCGTGCCCCAC